GCAGCCCGCGTCAACCATAACCCATAGAAATCTCGATCTCATATTCTAATTGTCTTAGTATAAAAATCTACTAGTCGTTCAAAACTTTATCTACATCGTCTACACCTACGCTTCGAAAACACCAAGGTGGCCGCCAGTTTGTTAGCAAGCACACACTGCTAGGCCACTCACTATCTACAACAGAATAGACAGTGAGTAGGGAAGCCAATCAGAGAATTGAACAGCATTCTTGATAGAACGCTAGTAGATTTATTGTAACTTTTCTTATTCAAATTCAGCGCCATTTATACGAAGGGCAACAAAATAATGCACTTCAGATTGAATAGCGAAGTCAGTGAGAAGTATAACGAACAAAGAAACTTAATTGAAATGTTTAAACTGCAGTTTAAGAAATACTCCTACCACGGCATAGCCCATTTTATGCATGATTAAGTATATTTACAATTAGTGCAAAGTTTCGACAAACGTTATTTTAGAGTAAATTATCGATAATAGTACCATAAGAAATGCATTGTACATCTAAACAAAAAGAGAATTTGTTTTATTTTTTTTTCTATTTCATTTCATTTAATTTTATTGTATTATATTTTATTTTATTTCATTTCATTTCATTTCATTTTACTTTATATTACTTTATTTTATTTTATTTTATTTATAGTTTGACAATAAAACTAAAGGGGTACCAAATTCTAATGTGTGGAATAATTCATTTGGTCATTGCAACTCGCGACATGTTCAATTTATCACTTTTTGTTTGCACTCCCAACAAGTAGTTCAACCTGCCAATACGAGCTAACACAAAAATCATATGCTTTTACCTCTGTAGCGAGGATGACATTGGTTCAGCCGTCTTGAAACTGACTGAAAGTGAACAAACCGTGGTTGAGGGGTCTGGGGCGGCTGGTGTCGCTGCCTTGCTAGGAGGATATTTACCAGAGCTGCGAGGAAAACGGTGAGGGAGAGTGTCTGGTAGAAAGAAACGTACATTAGGGAGCCTTGTAAACTAACGTGTTGTAAAAATGGCGTATACGCGTTTTAACGGGAAAGGTTTACAACGTGAGGCCTTGTACTTACCCATTTATCGATCGACTCCTGTTTGCATTACTGTGAACAACACATTTACAAAGTAATACATTTTTGCAGTAAGATATATTTTTTTCTGGTAAAGGAGCACCCATTTTGCTTTTGTCATTTATGCTAACAGCTATTTCGTGTAGGATGGACCCTAAATGGTTGACTTACTGAAGGCTTCAAATATATCTATAAATGCACTTAAGTTTCGCTCGGATCTCACAAGGAGCCGTGAAAACGAGCTGATTAACTGAGTGCATGGTATTCAACTATTAGCTTCTTAGCTCGAGATTTCTGTCGCGTGATAGTTGACGAGGGCGCAGCCCGATTCAACTATCACGCATAGAAATCGAGAGACAATAATCTAATTGTTTTAGTGTAAGTCTACTAGTCCTTCAAAACTTTAACTAAATCCTCTTCACACACAGCCCTCGTCAACTATCACACGATAGAAATATCCA